TGGTCTTAGTAATTATGTCCTTGAAAGCATACATGAAGCTGAACAGTGACATCGAGGATCTGGATCTACATCCCCTGTACTGATTCATGAATCATTCGTAACGATACGCAAAGGACGAATGATAAAATATCAGGGTAATGATTCAGGACTGGTAACGATTAAGATTTGCTAGACCACTGTTCTGAGAAGGCAGTCAAGAAAGCGGTGAACCATCACAGAAAGATCGATACTGTTGGAAAAACATTTTTGATTGCCTTAGTTTACAGATAACAAAATCTGTACCTTTTATAATTTTCCTCAGCCATTTGTTATGAATTCTTAAAAAAAAATGATTGACAATAATTCTGATACAAGAATCTTATGTAAAATCAATGATGACTTGGCTGAGTTTACGAATTTCATTGTTAGATTCAGCTGTTCATAATTGTAAAGGTTTGTACACAGTTAATAATAAGAATAAGAATTGAGCTGCTTCAGGGCTCAGAAATCAGGTCTGTTTTTTGTAAGCAGAGAAATGCTAATTGTACTTACTGCCTACATGCAGAAGGTTAGGCAAAGTGGAGGAATTGCATCACCTCAAAGGAAAATTTCATTTTCTTGCTTTATGAACATTGTTTACAATAACTAAATGCTGAATCTTATAGAGTAATTTATCATGAAGACAACACATAGAGAATTTTGTAATAATTTCTGCTCTACGTTTGATTACTTGACAAAGTTTTGCAAAAACACATTTGGCAGACATAAGCAGGTATGAGGCATTTTGGGTAGTTTTGCTGTATGTATTGTGCGGTGTTGTCTCAGTTCAAAAACCACAGATTCCAGGTACTGACAGCCTGAGTTGCATGCCGTGTGTTTGTTACTGCATGTACTGTACAGCCTATATTGCATTACTGTATATGGTATATGAACTTTTGTAGAATTACCACAGATTGATTTGATCCAGATCTTATATCCTTCAGAGAATGAGCATGTAAATGTGTTTTGTACTGATAGTAGTCACCTCTGTTGTTAACGATTGATATCAAATCTGTGGAGCACTCCCCCTAGAATGTTAATTGATGGAGGTGAATGCCTGAAATATTCTCGATATTCTGTCGGGGAAATCAAAGCAATACGAAATGTTAAAAATCAATCACTGATTTTATTTTTGTTGTCTTTAACTAGCTAAAGTGACTCTATGGATCAGAATCCGTGTTGAGAATCTAATAATCACCGTATGCTTGTTACATGCCCAATATATATTGTCCTCCTCAGTTTGATTATTGCTATGATCAGATGCTAAAACGATTTTAGATTTTTATAGCAATTACTATTTTTTTTGCATTTATATTATTTGAATTAATATAACTTGATGTTTTGGTGAAATCCTTTTCGGAATATACACATAATTTCTTCTACTTCCCCCTCCCCTCCCGACTCATTCGTTTGTGTGGTAAATTCTTCAGTCTCTTTTTGTAAAAACAGGTTTTCATATTTAAATGTTATCCCGCCAGAGTAGAAGTCTGACGGCCAATCAAGATTTCGATAATAACTAGCTGTTTGAATGTACCAATAGCATCATTTGTTGCTTTCTGTAAATGTCTGACGGCCAATCAGGATATCGGAAATAACTAGATGTGGGAATGTAGCATCATCTTTCGTTCTCACTGTTGTATAGTCGAGGACGCCATTGGAAAGGTAAGAAAGCATTCTCTTAGAATATTGCTAATATGTAACCGACTGTAAATGCTGTTGTTGATACATATCGTGGAAGGTTTCACTTAGAACCTATTTTAGTAAAACTTGCTGCGTTCGTAATGGAAAATTAGGTATTGCGTGTAGCGTTCCATAGATGCTTCATAGGCTTAATCCAAGGATGTAGAATATGTTATAGCACGAATACAATACATGTTTCTAATACATAGTTATGACGGTAATTTACGGTTATCTGCAGAAATAATTAAACAAGGAAGCATCCACACTATTACTCACATGAATTAAATGTAGAATGTGTATGAAGACTTGTAATGGTTTTTGATGGGTAACGTGATTTTTCATTGAGTTTCATTGGTGGTTAATGGAACACAGTATTTTGTCTGTTCTTTGTATTAACATGCATAAAATTCCTATTATATTTTATTGGTATAGGATTGTCAGTGTTAAATGCTCTTCTTGTGGCAGTGAAACATTATTCATGTGTTCAAGAAATTCTCCTGTTTTGGAACCAGGAAAGCTGTTCATAAAATCTTGCTGTTATATAAATGGGTCGAAGGAATTATTTAAGTTTCTGATAGGTTTTGCTTTGGGAGAGGGAGGGAGCCCAATTTTAACACAAAAACTGGTCACCTTGCACATTCCACACCTGAAAACTAGAAGTAGAACATGTAGCCGGCAGGTGTTCTACAAGATTTATTTAGATGTTTGACTATTAAAACTTTGAAATAGCGGCCTCTTCCTAATTCACAGAAGAAATCAAGTTATGGTAATCGATAGGATTTTCTTAATTTTAGATTTCTCTTGCAATTAAATATATAATTATAAATGCCATCTGTCTGACCAGGTTTCAGGTAAACCGATGTGTGGCTGTTGTTATTATTAAGAAAGTAACTGTCTTAAAAGAAGGAGTAATTGTATGCTGCCATAATGAATTATTATTGTCTGCATTCTGGAATTTATGTTTGATAATGTATTCCTTCTCTTTGCCACAATGACATGTCCATTTGAAGCCATTTAAGTAATATCTGGACCCTTTTCTCAACTCTGAAATTGATATCATTCCAGTTTTGTTGAGTTATTTATGTGCATTGCTTGTGAGAAGCTTAATATTTTTTGATGTTGTTCTAGATTCTGGATGTGCTTTCACATTCAATGATAGCAGTAATTTTTTATTTTAATAGCATAATCATCATGCAAAATGAAACTTTGTCAGAAGTAGTGTGTGTGTGTTGAAGTCTGGGTACATAACCTGTCTCTAGTAGGGTAATTCCTATTTATTACCTTATTCAGATATAAAGTGGACCTTCAGTTATCATATGTTGTAGTATCAGAAAATTATGTTGAATTTGGGTAGGTAATCTCTATTTAACTGATTTAATGCATTTAAAATGTTGTGGGGAATATGGGAAAAATTAATTTTGAAAAGGATGCTGTGTTCATGTCGGAGAATTTAAATATGTTTAAGTAATCTGAGTGTGGAGGAGATACTGTCCTCAGATCACGAGTAAAGCGGTGCTGGGAGAAGTTGTTTCTGGTGTGGTGCGGGGGAATGTTTAGTACCTGGTGGACTAGAGGACTGCTATTGGTAGGAAGTGTGACATGCCAGAGTTTTATGTTACTACACACAGACTGAAACCATCAAGCAGTTTAGACTAGCGTGTATTGAGTGTGTCTTTACTCTCTTATGTGGGTGTTGTGATAATATTCTATATTCAATCACAGATATAAAGATGTCAAGTGTATGTAAACAGGGGAAATCTATTGACAGGGAAGTGCAGGAAGTAATATCCAGCGTAGTGAAATTGTGTTGTGAGGAAGCAAGGCGGAATAAGCTAAAAATTTCCCTTGACCTGTGCAACAGACAGGGCAGCCAGATACGCGGGTGTATCTAAGTCCTTAATTAAGAAGGTAAGGCGGGAGTCCAAAGGTTAGATAGGAGAAGGGCACACTATCACCTTCACACATGCCAGGGAAACACCGGCCTAGACCTACTGATAGGATTGTCACCATTGACTCCTTTGACATGTCAGTGATGAGGCGAACTGTGCAAGAATTTTACGGAATACAGAAGAAAGTACCGAGCAGCCCCAAGGTACTGCTCATAATTAACCAAAAAATTTTCTTTCCATGGGGTGTTGATACTCTATGGAATATTTTACATAACTTAGGGTTTAAGTAAGCGCAAGTTCTTGATTGAAAGGCCGGACATAGTAAACTGGCAAGGGAGGTATTTTGTGAATATTAAGACGCTTCGCAATGAAGGAAGACAAATATTCTACTAAGATGAAAGCTGGGTAGACAGCCATTTAACTTTCAAAAAGTGCTGGCAAAGTACGGAAGTTAAAGGGGTATGCTCTGATGGAAATGCTGGAAAAAGACTGATTTTGGTTCACGCTGGATCCCGTGCTGGTTTCCTTCAAGGTGCAGGACTGATATATAAAGCTGGCTCCGCAAGTGGTGACTACCATGGTCGGCTGAACAGTACAAATTTTGAAAAGTGGGTTAGAGAGAAAATGTTCCAGAATTTGCCCCCCAGTTTAGTGGTAGTACTTGATAACGCTCCATACCACAGTGTACAAGCAGATAAAACCCCATCAAAATATTCTGTTAAATGCGAAATAATCTCGTGTTTACAGCGGCACGGAGTTTTCTGTGATCCAGCTATGAGAAAAGGCCAACTTTATGACCTAATACTGACAATGAAACCAAAAGAAAAAATTTTCAAAATTGATCAGTTATTAAATGCCCATGGCCACATTGTGGTTAGGTCGCCTGCATATGTGTGTGACCTTAGCCCAATGGAACTAGCATGGTCTAGGTTAAAGAACTATGTTTGCGAGAACAACGTGACAGGGTATCTGTCTTTGAAGCGGCTGCTGGATTTAACAGAAGGGATTGCAACTGTGACTGCAAAGGATTGGGAAGGATACTGCCAACGTGTGGAACAACTGGAACAACAATACTGGGGACAGGACGGGGTTGTTGTTGACGTGATGGTCTCAATAATTATTGCTAATCCAAATGACAGTAGCGATGACAACGAGACTTCTTGTGAAGATGTTGAGTCTGAAGAAGCAACTGACTTTTCTGACTCCAAGCTCGCTCGGCCACTGTGAGGTAATTTTAAAGCTATATTCGTTAGAACTTAAGAAAGCCTTTTGTCTGTTGTTCCTTCAGTGGTTATGGAATGAATGCTTTTAGGTTGGCTAGTAGCAGTTCGTCACTCACTGCGAAATCTTGCGCATGCACGTATATCACATTCGTATGACGGCTTTTCTCCTGATCTGTGGACTGTACCTCTTCAGTTTTACAAAATATGCATATTTGGGCGAATGTTTCTGTGAATTTTCTACATAAGAGGTTTTCTTGATCTGGGTACTGTCTCTCAAAATTCATTATTGAAAAATTAGCAGAAGATCACACTCATGTTGTTTGTTACGTCGTAGGGTTTAAATCTATGGTGCAGTGCCTTTAAGAGATTCTGTAGTAAGAGATTTGTTGTGCCAGGAAGTGTATAGGATTTGAGTAAGATAATGCTGAATGATTTTGTGCATAGTATTATATGACTGCGACAATACAAAACTTTTGCAGAGTTCCATTATGCTTGAGGCAAGGGCTTGAGCACTGCTGCGTGTTATGTAATGAGTGTGCAATTGACAGGACGACAATACACACCTTTATTGGACTACCTGGAGAGAACAAATGATTCGTCTCCTTCTGCCAGTTTCTGGCATCTACCATCCTCTAGATAAAATTGAGGGAAATCTTCAATTAAATCTCTCCAGAAATGTGAGTATAATGACCTTCCTTTACATTCTCTAAGTACTGTAATATTATCATTGACCTTGTTTCTCATTTCTTTTAATAGCATGGTGGCATTAATGTAACCTGATTTTGATTGAGAGTACGCTAGTTTACCTTCCGATAGTAACACAGTCTTCATTTGATTTGGAATTCCTTTGTTTTTTAACTTTTTAAGAAAGCATGTCAAGTTAGAATCCACGTAGATTGCCAAGAATGAAGTGTCATGGGGCTTAATTCCACATTTTTAGATTAATTACATTTGATAGTGTGACTGGCTGTGGGCTGAATAGCCAGGGTTAAATTTTCTCTCTGAGAAAACCCTTTTTCTCTTTGTAACGTTATCCAGACCAGCTATGTTAACACACAGCCTCCTGTGAAATAGATACTGGTGCTATTCCTCCAGAGATAAAAGAAACGAGTTTGTGAAGCTAACCATTTATCTCCGCTTTTAATGCAAAGTTCTAGAAATGTATGGAGCCTTTGCTCCTCTTTCTCTCAGCACTTTCATGATGTGTTAACCACAGTGATAACTTCATGTTAGTTAAGATAACATTCAATGGCTTGTAAGTAATTACCTGTTTTGTGACACATTTATGTGTTAAGCACCAGATGTAGATGGAAGAATATTAAAATGGATCTTGGGGAAATTGTGTTGGAGTGTATGGCTAAGTCCACACATTGTTACAATCTAGAGGATGCGCATGATGCTTACTGGACCCCTAAATATGCTTGTGGATCTTTCACATGAAGGAGAATACTTGATTTTAAAATAAAATATACCAATAATTCAGCATTTATATTTTACTTGTCACAACTGTAGATCAATGATCTGCTTCACGCTTAGCTGCTTTTATTCCGGGGATAGGATCCCCAACTATTCATTGGGTATGAGGAGTGGGCCCCAGAGTTGGTCTTTCTTGACGTGGTAGCGAAGAGATTCCTTGTCTTCGCCAGGAATTTAATTCCAGCCATTCAGTCTGAATCTGTCACTTGATAGGGCCATGCCAGTTCATTAATTAAATACTTATTAAGATAAAATATGAAGTTGATAAAATACCTCAAATAGTTGATGTGCTATACTAATGAATGAAGAAATCAAGATATAACTGCTTACTGAATTTCCTTGCTTTCTCATGTATTTTAAGCCTTGGCATTGCTATAGATTGTGAACTAATTTCCAATACCTGTTTTGTTGCCAGACTAGAGAGGAAGGAGGTAACAACATACAACACACAGTTACCCGATTCCAGTTTTCGATGGGTTAAATGACTGCAACAACAAAAAAATTTTGCGCAAAGTTCCATTATGCTGAAGACAAGGTCTTGAGCACTGCTGCGTGTTATGTATTGATCGTATGCAATGGACAGGAGGGGCGGGTGCAGCAGCTTCAAAAAAAAAATGACTGGGAGATGCATCGTGCGGTGCATGATGTTCAGGAGAATCTGAATAAAGTAATGCTGTTTCCTGGAAATTTTAAAAGACAGTTTGACACCGACCTGCAGGATTATGTGAGAATAATGACCTTCTCAGTACACATCCTATATATTCTGTAAGTACTGTAATATTTTCATTGCCCTTGTTTCTTGTTTCTTTTAATAGCATGGTGGAATTATTGTAACCTGATTTTTATTGACAGTTCCCTAGTTTACCTTCCAACGATAGTAACACGAAGTCGTCATTTGATTTGGAATTCCTTTGTTTTTTAACTTTTCAATAATGCCTGTCTTGTTAGAATCCACATAGATTGGCAAGAATGACTTTGGTATGTGTTGAAAAACTATCACTAATATCACATTTGAAGTTTTCATGGGAATTAAGATAATGTAGGTCCTGTGGGTTGTAAATCTTTGTGGACATTATGACTGATAGTCTCGGTATGTTTATCCAAGAGTTTGTTATCTGACTACAAGTTCAAGCACTGTTGACACAGAAGACCAGTATCAACATTGCCATGAATAATTGTTAAGAAAGTTACTGTCTTATATTATGGAGTAATTGTATGCTGCCATAATGAATTAATAATGTCTGTATTCTGAAATTTAAGTTTGATAATGAATTCCTTCTATTTGCCACAAAGACATGTCCATTTGAAGGCATTTAAGTAATATCTGGACCCTTTTTTCAACTCTGAAATTGATATTCCAGTTTTGTTGAGTTATTTATGTGCATTGCATGTGAGAAGCTTAATATTGTTTGATGTTGTGCTAGATTCTAGATGTGCTTTCACATTAAATGTTAGCAGTAATTTATTATTTTAATAGAATAATCATCATGCAAAATAGAACATTGTCAGAAGTAGTATGTGTGTGTGTGTGTGTTCAAGTCTGGGTACGTAACCTGTCTCTGTTAGGGCAATTCCTGTTTATTACCTTATTCAGTTATCATATGTTGTAGTATCAGAAAAGTATGTTGATTTTGGGTAGGTATTCTGTATTCAACTGATTTTATGCATTTGAAATGGTGTGGGGAATATGGGAAAAATGAATTTTGAAAAGGATGCTGTGTTAATGTCAGAGATTACCAGAATATCACACTCATGTTGTAAGAGATTCATTGTGCAAGGAAGTGTATAGGATTTGAGTTAGATAATGCTAAATGAATTTGTCCATAATTTTAAATGACTGCAACAACACAAAACTTTTGCAAAGTTCCATTATGCTTGAGGCAAGGGGGTGAGCACTGCTGTGTGTTATGTATTGCGTGTGTGCAGTGGACAGGAGGAGCAGGCGCAGCGTGTTCGGACAGGAATGCAAGAGAAGATGAATCAGCTGGAGTCTCATATAATTTGATACATCCTGTAAACTTTGCAACAAAAATTCAAAATGACCCAAGAACAGCAATTGATAATATTTTTGTCGATACTATAACACTTCGCTCAACTTCTACTGCTCCCATAATAAATCGTCTATCAGACTATGATGCCCAGTACTGTATGATTAATAAATGACATTGCTGGAGCTACTACAGTGAAACCTCTATCCATCGTTCCCGGA